TATACTTACTTATGTTTTTTATAGAATAAGGGTGACAAACGAACACACAGTCCACCTGATGGTAAGTGGATGCTATGGCCCATAGACATCTACATTTGTCATTGATTAAGAAACAAAATGCAGATGCGTTGTCACCCCTCAGGACTAAGATGGAGTGCCTCGTTTCCAGTAAAAAGGGTCTCCGGTTCTCTACATTCACCATACGAAACACAGCACCACTAAGCTGCTATTTTACGCTGGTATTGTGAGAGCGTGGTCCCACCCCGGTCTAGTCGACCCATTCGTGCTACAACCATAATATAGCTGCAGCATGGCTTTACCACGTATAAATAAATTATAAGAACTTAAATATGTTGTATATGTTTCATATTTTAATTTAACACGTGCACATGTATATTTAATAAGAAGCACATTAATAAACCAAGAATATATTGACCTTATTAATGAAGAATAGACTAACTTATTTTATTTATTTATAAAGTTAAATACTAGGTACTTCTTTAGAATACATACGGTGCAATACGTTGTTCTATTATTAAATTTTAACAATATAACAACATAATATTGCACTGTGTGCATGTTATTTAATTTAACATCTATATCTTACACATATTAAAATATATTATATTGTATTATATTTAAGATTTTGATATTATATTATCTATACGATAATATTCTTGTAAGTAAAAGCTACTCCACTAGACACCTATTACCACATTAATGCAGTAGGTTAATAAAGTGCATTAAGCGTAATAATTTACGTTCGAGTGAACTTACTGTCACTAAATAGTGTTTTGAGAAGGAGAAGGAATAAGTACACACCTCCGTAAGCGCCATCAACGTAGCCTGGATATCCGCCGTAACCGCCTGCACGTTGTAGATTAAATTATATGATGCCAATTCGCCTTTCGTTTTATTAAAGGAACCTTATTTTTAGGGATTCTATCGCGATTAATTTAGCTTTGTAATTCCCGACGATTCGGGTCCTTTACAACATCTCAGCAAATGGGGGGATGATTGAGGTGTTCGACGTTCCGATGTCATAGTTAGCCCGGCTACCTTCAGTTTTTGAATATTAATTTTGGCCCGATCTACGCAGAATGAGCTTATAGTATAGCCGAGTTAACTATGACATCGGGACGTGAAACACCCTCAGCCCCCCCCCCCCCCCCCCGTGACCAAGGGCACGGCAAATTAAACGCGATAGATCCGTAAAAAGTAGGTTCATTTAATGTGTAGTGTTCGCGTAAATTTAAGAAATCATTGTCCTTTATTTTATGTTCACATATTAATTGTTTAAATTTGCTACGTCTGTGTAGTGTATAATATGTTGCCGCCAACTAGCTTAATTAGCCCTTCAGTTAACAGCCTAGCCTTTTTACTAAACGGCACCCTTCAACTGAATGATAAACGTAATATAAACGAGATTATTAAAGTTAATAAGGTCACCATGCCATGTAATGTCGGTGGTCTGTGTCTAATTATGCGCTATGTGCTTTAGGGTGACCTAAGGGCCACCACAGCCGCACCTTAACTTACTGTCACTGATTCAAAAGACAGGTGCAATGTTGTATTAGATGCATCGGCTGAATATCATTCCGTCCGCTAGTTCAACGGTGCCGTTTAGAAAAAGGCTAGGCTATTAACTGAAACGCTAAATTAAGCTAATGTTAGACTTATAGAGTGGTGTCAATATCAGTTTGCATACACGCTACAGAAAAAATGCACATACGCTAAAGAAAAAATGTTTGACCATATTTGGCTGAATGAAAACCACCAAAAATACCATAAAATAATATGGCGAGATGGCCCAGAAGAACCATTGCAGGAATACCAATTCATTACAGTCACATATGGTACCAAGGCGGCGCCATACTTAGCAATGATGAATCTGAAGCAGTTAGCAGATGATGAAGAAAAATACTACACCAAGACTCATGTACGACGTTATCCATGTCTGTCATAGCGCTGACCTTGCAAAAGAATTGAAGAATGACCTCATCAAACTATTGAAAGTAGGCGGATTTAATCTGAGTATGTGGTCATCTAATATTCCAGGATTATGTGAAAATGTCAATTAAGATAATAGTTTTGAGTTTAGAGCTGTTGAATCTACAAACACCTTAGGTTTGAGATGGAACCCTCAAGAAGACTCATTCACTTTCCAATCCAAAATGCAAGCTCGTCAGACAAGCAACACCAAGAAGAAGCTAATTATCTGACATATCAACTATTTGGGACCTTTTGGGTTGGATTTCACCACTAATTACCAAGTTGAAGCTACTTTTCCAATCTACGTAGCTATCTAACATCGTCTAGAATGATACACTGGCAGAAAATCAGGGATGATATTCATAACATCGAAAAAATTCAAGTAAAAAGATGGCTTAATACAAATGAAACCGATGTTATTGTGTTGCATGGATTTTGCGACTCGTCAACAAAAGCATACGCTTGTGTAATATACTGCAAAATTCATTGTAAAGACCAAAATAAGTGGTTCTTGACGTCGCAAAAACAAGGTTAGTGCTGGTCAGCAAAACTGTAAGTTTACCTAGACTTGAATTATGCAGCGCAGTTTTGTTAGCAAAATTAATGTCCAAGGTAAAACAGAGTTTAGAAAATTACGAAATCAAGCAATACGGCTGGGTTGACTCCACGGAAGTACTGGGGTGGCTGCAAGGTAATCCAAGCAGGTGGAAAACTTCGTAGCGAACAGAGTCAAGCAAGTTACAGACGTCATTCCCGCACAAGACTGGCGATACGTAAAGTCCCAGCACAACCCAGCGGCCAGCGCAAGCAGAGGCCTAACTGCTACACAACTATTGAGTCATTCTCTGTGGTGGCAGAGACGAAGCTGGCTGCTTACTTATCATGATAAACAAGAAGAAACAAGTTATGATACCATAGAAGAACATAATTTAAAATTAAAAATGTTGTAGCCGACTTCAATATAAGTTATTTAGAATAACTCAAAAACTATTGGTCTGACCTTGATCAAATTCATATGGGACCACACGAGAACTATCAGCTTTCATATAAAAAAAGAATCATCGAAATCGGTCCACCCAGTAAAAAGTTATGAGGTAACACACATAAAAAAAAACATACGCGTCGAATTGAGTACCGTCTCCTTTTTGGAAGTCGGCAGAAAAGAAGGTAAAGCAGATGAATATTTCGACATACCAAGATCAAGAAATGAATATTTGGGGTCAAATTATCAAGAAATACAGTAAATTGAACAAATTGATCCGCGTCGTAGCCTGTGTATATCATTTCATAAACACTACAAGAACATAATTTAAAATTTAAAATTTTGTAGAGCCGACTTCAATATAAGTTATTAAGAATAACTCAAAAACTATTGGCCTGATCTTGGTCAAATTGAGGACCACACGAGAAGTACCAGTTTTCAAATTAAAAAGAATCATCGAAATTGATTCACCCAGTAAAAAGTTATGAGGTAACACACATAAAAAAAAAAACAAAAAAAATACAGTCGAATTGAGTACCGTTTCCTTTTTGGAAGTCGGCAGAAAAATCAAGATGCCATCGTACTTAACATTAGAAGAAGTCAGAGGAGCAAAGTAAAGAATAATCAAGCAGGTTCAGCAAGAACAGTTTTCGCAAAAGATAGAAGATCTCAAAGCAAAACAGAGCGTAATTACCAAGAGCAAGATAGTAGACTTACACCCTTATATAGATGAAGAAGGCATTCTAAGAGTTGGTGGTAGACTGAGAAACGCGCAGATAAGCATGGAAATGAAGACCCAATCATCATTCCACACGCAAATCATCTTAATGAGGTGATCATAGATGAAGCTCATAGTCTTACATTTTACGGGGGACCAAGATTAACAGGCAACAGGGCCACTAAGAAGCGCTTACGACAATGTGTGTGATGCAGGCGGTTTGAAACAAGCACGCAGCATCAACTCGTTGGTGACATACCTAATGCCAGAAGTAACCCACCTCCCCCGGTTTTTCACACAGGAGGAGGTGTGTTACGAGTATGTGCGCGGATCAGGCTACCGCGCCACAGCTGGAGCGCGCCGGCATCGTCAGCTTTTCATACGGGTGCATTGTCAAGTCCGACCTATTTACGGTGCACGCTCGTGATCTTGACCGCAGCGTTATCAAGGTGAGCCCAGGCATCAAGGTTGAAGACCTCAGTCCGATAAACGATATCATCAACGCGTCGATCCCAATGTCGTCTATAGTTGATGAAACCATCAACGACCGCCAAAACAATTTTCGGTCTTTGAAAAACAGCTAAAAGATTTGAAATAGCAGGCGGTGTTGACAAGTGATGTATCATACCATGATGTGCATCATTATGCTCTCATATACATCATGATCGGAGCAGCAATTATCGTGGGTGCAGGCCCGGCGTGATAGCGAATGCGACAAGCACGGTTAGCAAAACCAACTCCGGCAGTACCCCCGGCGAAGGACAGCACCAACATTCGCCTCTCCGCCGTCCGAAACAGCATTTGTGAAGAAGAAACGACTGATCGTTGTGATCATGTTACCAACCAGATAGACAGTGTCTGAATTGTAAACAGGTCTACGTCGCCCATAACAACTCATACATCTTCTTTCAAGCAATCGTGATCAGCATACCGCCCTCTTTTGGCGGCTGGTACGATGTAACACAGTGTATTGTCCCGCGTCGGCATTTTAGTAATAAAACGCTATGCGCGACTGACCTCATTTATTAATATTCTATATTTTTAGTGTTTTTGTTTTTGCCTACCGATACGGTCGCGTGACTCAACCTTATATTGTGAAATCTCAATAAATCTTTGTTTTTTTCTCAAGATTGTGTTTAAATCATACATCATCAGATCAAGTAAAGGGTATGGTATAACAAGACCAAACGTAGGTTTTGGAACATGAACATGTTTTCAAAATTTTGTCGCTCCCCAAATTCTGTCAATCTCCTACTACTTCCGTTCTCTTTCTATTACTATAATATTTCATAAACTATTTTTGCTCACCTTGATAGTTACCGGGGTAACCGCCTTGATTCGGATACCCTACTCCAGAACCTCCGTAGCCGGGATTGTAACTTCCGCCGTAACCTCCATTATTGTATCCTGTGTTATATCCTGGATAACCTCCAAATCCTCCCGAGTAATTCGGATAGCCGGGTCTTAGCAAGCCATATCCACCTGTTCTCCTGTGGGCTTCGCTAAATTCATTGTTAAGTTCTGAAATACCTTGCGCAAAACTCATCCCCAGTAAGCAAAATAAAAATAGAATCTGAAAAAAAAAATAGAATAAAAAGAAAAAAATAATTAAAAATAACGCGTTTAAAGACGAAGAATTATAGTATGAAAGTTTTAACCTACTTCAATTTTTTAATAGAAGTATGTAAGGAATTTTTTTAACTTTTTTAATAGAATATGTTTTAACAAACGAGCACATAGTCCACCTGATGGTAAGTGGATGCACTGGCTCATAGACATCTACATTTATTCTCGATTAAGAGTCAAAATGTAGATACATTCTCACCCCTGAGGACTAAGATGGAGTGCCTCGTTTCCAGTAAAAAGGGTCTCCGATGCTTTACACTCACCATACGAAACACTGCAGCATTGAGCTGCTATTTTACGCTGGTATTCTCTGAGAGCGTGGTCCCACCCCGGTCGTGCCGACCTCTTCGTGCTACAACCGTAATAGCTGCAGCATGGCTCTACCATGCTATATACTTATTACAAGCCAGTGTTTGGCTCGAATCCCACTTGGAGGAAAGTGATGATGGAGCCCTAGATGGCAAATCACACAGTCTTAGCGTAACAAAAGCCCAAGATTTATAATTAGGGATAACTGAAATGAAATAGTGAAAATAAACGGTGTAAAATAAGTAATTAATGTAAGATTTGCACGTTGTACTTAATACTTTATCAAGGTTTTTATTTTTAAGCCGTATAGGTATTCGTTGAATAATAATACGTAACGTGCACAAAACATAGTTGAAATTATGGTTATGGTTTCAAGGATTCATTTCTGGCAAATTTCCCTAATGTTCTTTTACTTTTACATATTAGCATTATGTATCCTTAAAACCAGAATGTTATTTCTCGTTATTGTTCAAAATTGTATACGATACTCTTTTAAAATGAAATAGTTTATTGTAGTTTAATATACATGCACAAGAAGCACCAGTTTCAATAAAAAAGAATCATCAAAATCAGTTTACTACATAAAAACTACATTCGAATTGAGAACCTTCATCTTTTTTTGAAGTTTAAAATAAGGAACTAATATTACATTCATATTCAAAAATATATCTACATTTGTTGGTTCACATATAGACAATTAAAGCAGAAGGTCTCAACTAGAACAATTATGTCCTAAAAACGTTGCTTCTGTATACACATATATTGGGGTTTTTCGTTTCGTAAACATGGGTAACAAAAAGTAGTTCAAGGTACTCAAGCTTAAGGTAGTAGGTGACGTGAGACATCTTAACTTTAATAATTTCTTATTCGCGCAAAACTTATGTACATGAATTAATCTTTGATTACATCACTTTTTTCTTTATGGTAACGTCCTCTTGGCCGATTTTCGACTGCGGTAACAAGTTCCAAATGATTGGAAGATATCTACAGCGTAGGAGATATTTTAATGCTAGTGTGACACTTTCGTCCTGACCTGCATCCGACAAAACGCAAATGCGATACATAAGATCGGAGGTACACTAGTATTCGGTATCACCGACAATGGCATAATGAATAAACAATTAGAACTTAAAACCTATAATGTGTGTTTTTTCACAAATGCTGGTTCCTCTTGAGATCCGAATCCAGGACCCACGGTGTTGTTAACAAGTCTCTTTTTTGATGTTATATAAATAAATTTAAATTACACAAACTTATAGAAAATAATTCCCAATTAAATGCGTTGCTAGTATCTTTAATAAAAAATTACAAAAACGGACAAGAAGTATTTTTTTAAAATAGTTAATTTAAAAGTATTATGTAAACTGGCGTTAGGGCCAGCCACGCAATCACAGTCTGTCACGTTTCTGTGTATCTAGTGTACATATTATTTTAAGATAAGTAGTTTAATTTTTCGCTTAGTTCAGTCTTGCTTTAATTTGAGTGTTTGTTGAAAATGGTTATTGCTTTTTCTAATTGTCCTCTTTCTGGAGAATTAAAGAAAATTGCAGGCTAAAGTTCCAGCGCACGATTTCTACAATTCTGATATGAGAATTTATTTTTTCGAATCAGATTTCTTACATTCTTGTTTTTATTTAATTTAATGCAGTAAGTACAGCAGAATGAATTTAATATAACAAATTGCAGTAAGTACAGCAGAAGTATCGATATTTTTTTATTTATTTATTATTGGATAAAAATTGTTACATTATTGCTATGCGGCACAGCGAAAAACCATGCAGGTTTGTGTTGCGTGCCGTTCCGTCTGCATTTACAAAAATGGGGATAACAACTAATATTTGTTAAGGAAATAACATTTTAATTTAAACTTTATGTTAACTTCATTAATTTCACTTTTAAATTTATTATCCAGACCATTTATTAAGCGAAGTATTATGTATGCACTGGTGCGCTCACCATATTTTTTTTTGATGGTATTGTTATTAATTTTTTTTTTAGTTACTTATATATTATTATATTATGATTTGAAAACTTCAAATGATTTGTTACCGTTACCGGTACAGTTTATAAAAATCCATTGCTGAACATAGACCTCCCTTATAGATTGGCTTATAGGGGCAATCAAAGCGTGCCAGTTATGGCAAACATATAATTTGTAATAATTGCCACGGTTGCCAGGCAACCGGGCTGTAACCGCAGTTCCTTATTTTTTTAATTGTTATTAGGAAGACGTTGCTGCCCATTTCCTGGTTTATTTAATTCTGTACCCACTTACGACACCAGCAGATGATATTGGGTAGTGGATATTCTTACACTGGCATTGTACGATTATATAAAAATATTAGTTAGGAATGACCGTAATAAACATCAAATCCTTTGATCCTTAACTTATTTAAAATTAATTTTTATACTACATGCATTATACAGTGAATGTTATTGTTGTAAATAAATACAACTTTTAGAGTAAAGTGCTGCTAATTCTTTATTACTATCCTGTAAACATTATATTATAAGTAAGGTAAAGTAAAGTAACAGTCTATAAAAGTTCCACTGCTGGGCACAGGCCTCCTCACATTTTTGAAAAAGCTGTATGAAATGTCCGCCGTGCTGTTCCGAGACATGGCGGACTTCATAATATATCTTCGAAATGTCTTCGAAATATTTTAAAATTTATTAAAAAAACCAAAATAAGTAAGTAAATATAAGCAAGTATAGTCGGTGCCGGTGAGGATCGAACGCAGGTTGCTCGCGTAGTGATATTTACAGCATGCGCGTTCCTGAGCTACGAGTACCACGTCTCTCAGCTACTATCTAGTATACATAATACGTAATACAAGTAGGTAATATAATATACAAACACAAATAATATAATATACATAATAATAGTGTGTCCTACACTCAGCTGTATTAGGCCCCTCATTAGATGGAGTGGTGACCCGGTAATAAGTGCAAGAAGTCGATAGAATGCAGGTGGGTCAGGAGCTCAGAACCGTGTTTTCTGGCATTAATTGTGGGAGGTCTATGTGTAACAGTGGATTTGTGAAGGGACTTTAATGATTAATCATGATTATGATACATACATTAAAACAAAATTGATGCTGAAATATTGTCCTATTGTAACTAAGAATAACATTAAATGTTTTTTTAGAGAACGTGTTTGCTATTAATAGTATCTATTCGAATATAAAATTTAACAAAATGTTTCGTTTTTCGTAAAACTGCTTTAGATAATAAAAAATATATTTTAAAATTTTTATGGTTTCAAATAAAAATTTATGTGTTAATATATTGTCGACCTTATCAAATTTTTACAGACATTAATTATTAAAATAAATTACTTACCAAAGTATGCATTGTTTAAAATATTTAGTCACACGTATTTAGCATGGAGTAACGTTACAGTATTGATGAAAAGATGGACGTTGCGTCGCCTTTATACTTACACCCAAGAGCACTAGTCGTGCGGTTTTTACGCGAACGTACTGTGACGCACAATTACAAACTACTAGGAGCGTGAACACCATCTTTGAGAATTGCATTATGGGCAAGAAACGTCACGTTTCTATCTGTTTACAATAAACATATTTAAACATTAGATTTAATGTATCAAAATATTTATTTCATCTCCAATTGTGTTAAGTGAGGTTTCCTAAGAGGAAACGTATTTTTTTAAACGTATTTGTCCTTCCTAAGTATAAAATTAGACTTTTAATAAAAAAATAAAATAAAAACTGGCTTCAAAGAATTGAAAAGAATAAAATAATTTACGTTTACATATTTCAAGTCTGCTTTTACATTATATTTGCGGTCTAGTTTTTTGATCTTTTTGAGTAGACTAATGAATATCAAAAGCACAAATTATGTCGTCTTACCGTTATCGTTACAGCCTATGCTGAACATAGTCCTTCGACCTCTCTTCCCTTTAGTTGGCAATTACTCGGAAGGAAACACCCAAACAGCAGAATGTCTCTTAGTTTCAGGATCATAAGAATAAATCCACATTTCGTCACCCGTGAGTATGTCAAACACAGCATTTGAGCCACCTCCGTTAAATCTTTGAACCATTTTACGATACCAATCAACACGACGGAATTTTTGGGCCTCCGTCAAATTATGAGGTATACCTAAGTTTCTCATACCGATACCTAAGTTTGTCCAAATCTGTTGATAAGTCACTCTTTTGTCAGTCTATCATGCGCCGCACAACACTGATGTTATCTCTAGTCGTCGCCGTAGAAGGCCGTCCTTCACGCATATCATCGGTGAGATTAGTGCGACCACGTTTAAACTCATTAAACCAGTTGTAAACAGTGGCACAGGCTTCATCGTGAAAGGCCAATCGAAGTCTATCATAACTTTCTTGTTGACTTAAATGATATCGGAAGTCATAAAAAATCATTGTACGAAAATTTTCTCACGTTAAATTCATGCTGAAGTGACACAGACAATTTTCAATTTGCCGCCAAATCGTAAAAAATGACAAATTAATAAAATACGAGTATATACCTGCACAATAATATTGGCAAAGAGTTCCATTTTCCAAATTTGAACTTATTTTTCTATTATATCGTTTATAAGTGGTCAGTTCTAAAAACTCAGTCTCAGAGGTGGAGGAAATGTATGAGGATATCTCTAAAGCCATGCATTCCTCCAAAATCCACTATACGGTGTTAATGGGAGACTTTAACCCAAAACTAGGCACAAGAGAGAACGGTGAGCTGAGGGTAGGGAAATTTGGAATGGGGCAACGGAAACCAAGGAGCCAGCGGCTGGTCGACTTCATGGAGAAAGAAGGACCCTTTATGATGAACACTTTCTTCCAGAAGCGGCCCCACACGAAGTGGACCTGGTCAAGCCCCGACGGTTCGACAAGAGAAGACCGGTTCGGTAGGGCTACAATGGCTCGATTACAGAACCAGAGTGCGAATCCTTTTAAAATGCAGAGAGGTGTAAGACAGGGTGACGTTATATCCTTGAAACTCTTCACCGCTGCATTGGAAGACGTTTTCAAGCTTCTGGACTGGAAAGGATATGGGATTAACATCAATGGCGAGTACATCACTCACCTTCGATTTCCCGACGATATAGTCCTTATGGCAGAATCCCTGGAGGACCTAAGCACTATGCTCAATGACCTCAATAGTACCTTCCAACGGATAGGTCTTAAGATGAACATGGACAAAACAAAGATCATGTATAACGTCCATGTCACACCTATGCGTGTAGTTGTTGGCAGCACTAAACTCGAAGTTGTTGACGAGTATGTTTACCTGGGACAAACAGTCCGACTAGGTAAGTCCAACTTCAATCGACGGATCGAATTCGGCTGGGCAGCATTCGGAGATTACGACACATCTTCTCGTCAGGTATACCTCAAAACTTGAAAATGAGACTGCACAACCAGTGCGTGTTGCCACTGACAACCTGTGGAACTGAGACGTGGTCCTTCATTGCTGACCGTATGAGGAAGCTCAAGGTCTTCAATACTATCATTACTGAAAACAATAATGTTTTAATAATATGTACTGTGGTTTAGTTAACAATGTCATAGATAGAGTAATAACATGTAATAAATAAAAACTTCGTAAATACAGTCGTAGTAGATCTATGCTGCAGCTATATTATAGTTGTAGCACGAATAGGTCGGCTCAACCGGGGGTGGACCACGCTCTCACAGAATACCAGCGTAAAATAGCAGCTTAACGCTGCTGTGTTTCGTATGGTGAGTGTAAAGAACCGGAGAAACTTTTTACTAGAAACGAGGCATTCTATCGTAGTCCTCACGGGTGACAATGCATATTTTAATTCATAATGGAGGATAAATGTAGATGTCTATGGGCCACAGTAACCACTTACCATTCGGTGGACTGTGTGCTCGTTTGTCATTCTTATCCTATAAAAAAACAATCGCTTAATTTATTAGAAAGCAATTAAAGAATTAAGATCACGCAAAATATCAAAACGGGATGCCTTCGGTGGGTGACCCTGAGTAAATAAGAAGTTTGTTTCGTTAGACATTTTTACCATGTTTTTACCGAAAGGACCGTGGAACTGTTCTCATGAATTGTTAACAACAATAAGGAAACACGTAGCACAAGGAAGAATATTATAATGTTTGTTTTACAAGATTACATAATGTTATTTTGCTTGAGACTGAACAATTCTTTTCTTATTATGAATATTTAAAAATGAGTATAATTAAACTTTAAACAAGTAGAAATCGACTTCAAAAAGGCATATAATCATTTCTCCCTAATTTAATAGCTTTTAGAGTCAGCACTTTCATTTTTCAATACACTATATTTTAGCACCGGGTTCAGACTATATTATGTAAAAAATATTTTATACTTTTTAGTTTTTTTGCAGTTGGTTTTTACTTTTTAAAGTTTAATAGGGACAAATAGTCGCACAATTTTAAGGTGACAACTAGAATGCCGTATAAATAGCTGCATATAAGCTTCATTTATAACGCCGACATCTATCCTTGAGCTGTAGAGCCTATTTAATTTAAAAAAAAAAAACCATTAAAATCAAGTTACAATTGGTGGAAATATAGCGTTAACTAAAGAACATATAAGAAAAAAAAATACATTCGAATTGACAGCCTCCTCATTTTTGATAGTCACCTTTACAGCCCATTAAAGTCCACTGGTGAACATAAGCCTCCCACATAGATTGCCTCATAGGGGAGATATTTACCATAGTTGTCGCGCCTGGCAAGCACGTGGGCAACCGCAGTTTTTATTTTTAGTCCACGCAGCTGCCCTCTACGTGGTAGAACCATGCTGCAGCTATATTAGTAACATAGTTGCTGCACGAATGGGTCGGCGCGACCGGGGAAGGACCACGCTCTCACGGAATACCAACGTGAAATAGCAGCTTAGCTCTGCTGTGTTTCGTATGGTGAGTGTAGAGAACTGGAGACCCTTTTCACTGGAAAAGAGGCATTCCATCTTAGTCCTCACGGGTGACAACGCATCTGCATTTTGATTCGCAAACGAGGATAGATGTAGATGTCTATGGGCCACAGCAACCACTTACCATCAGGTGAACTGTGTGCTCGTTTGTCACCCTATCCTATAAAAAACTCACCTCATATGTTTTCCACTGTCTCGCCTCTTACTAAACCCACGGAATGATATGGAGTAGTGGATATTCTTACATTGGCACTTATTGAAGTCTGTTAAAAAGTAATCAACAAATTCCATAATTTTCGTTCTTATCTGTGGACTGCCTGGTTGGTCTAGTGGTCGTAGGCACTACTGCTGATCATGAGGTATCTCTAGATACTCTAGACCTCGTGTATCATGTAGCGGCGAGCTCATGCAGCGACGCGAGTATACCGCTGTCGCTCCTTACTACGTAGGTAGTCGTTAATATTACATGGGTACCTGGGACCGAACTGAGCTCAGCGTTGGAAAAAATATAATTTTCTCACTCATTACACAGCTACCTATTGAAACTTGAAGAGCAAGTACAAAACTTTTATTCTTCCTTCCATAAATCATACATTCATTCATTAAAGCGGTTCCCGAGAAACTGGTGCAGTTACATTTATAATATATGTGTGTATGTATGTTTTTACATACACATAATTTTTTCTATTAATTATTCAAAAACTATTAAATAGGTTTGATTATGATATACTCATGTATTTAATTTCTCCTCTTGTATTTAGCGTGCGTAAACTTTAATAAAAAATTACAAATGTTTGTACACAATAATGACTACAAAAATTTGTAAATGCTATTGAAGAAAAGTTTTGAACTGTTTTATTTTCGTTTTTATTTTGATTTTATGTAATTATTGCGTAATATTACGTTCATACACAATGAGAAAAATTTTGATTTTGAATTTGAGTTTCAATTTAGGTTTTGTTTATATGTTTTAGTGTTGGTCTTGACTGCCTTGTTTAACGTGTTAAGTATGAATTGTTTCTGCAAATAAACTAAGAATGCCAGATCTAAACGCCACTCAAATTGCTAGGGCTGTTACTTTGATTGACACTGGGCACTCAACAAGTGGTCTAAACATTACGAGTATCAAAATCTGTGGGCCACCGAGTTGTAAAGCGGTATCAGCAGACCTGACAGTGTACGAGACTCGCAGGACGAGGATGTAAACGGAAAAAAATGGCCAGATATGACCGGTTTATCTTTACCACCGTGCCTAGAAACCGGGCTTTGACTTCTTTTTAGGTAAGAACGAAGCTCCAAGAAGTTCGAGGGGTTACAGTAAGGTTAAATACTGTAAGAAAAAGATCACATGCCATCAAGTAGCTCGAGTTAATTTTGCTTTGTTAATTTTGAAAATTGATTTTGGAGTCAAGGTCAAGGTTCCCATATGTGTACAGATTTTACCTGAAGCCAGATGATGGAAGGATTAAAGTGTGGTGATGCCCGGGGGAGAGGTACGCTAAGTGTAACGTCACTGGAAAAGAGACATATTATGGTGGAGGGCCCGTTATGGTTTGAAGAGGTTTT